GTGGTTGGTAGTGGGGGGCAGTGGTGGTGGGCGATAGTGGTGGGGGACAGTGGTGGGGGTAGTGGGGGGTGGAGGGTAGTGGTGGGGGGGGTGGTGGGTCGTGGTGGTGGGCGTAGGGGATAGTGGTGGGGCTGGGAATGCGGGGTGGGGGTAGTTGGGGGCGCAGTATTTGGTACACTTCCCAAGGAACCCGACTACCCAAATGCCTCTCACGGCCAACTTCCACCGGTGATGATGATCTAAATCGGTCCTGGGCCTCCCCTATGTCGACTCAGCCTCAAATGAGTTCATGATCCCATGTGTAGTAAACATCGCCACCGGGGAGAGACAAAGGCGGCCGGACATGGTGCTGGCCACCCAGCAGTGTCGAGGCTACATAGACGCTGCTGCTCGTAAACAGCACTTGCCCCGACAGTATGTAGAAGCTACGGGGGGGGTCTTTGTAGTGGGGTTGGGATTAGTCGTGGAGGAAGGAGTCTGTCTCCATTGTGAGTGAAGCTCTCACCTGTTGATTGAAGGGCAGATAAGGTCAGATGATAACAAAAAAACACGTTCATTTAAACTCGCTAAGTGCTGCACTCACTTGAAACAGAATCAGAGTGTTTATTTATCCTGGAGAAATTCGATGAGCCATAAAACTCTTTTTCCCAGATACCCAGTAGGGCAGGGGTAAGGACGTTGTAACAACAAGCGGTACACGGACATTATAGGAGTGCCAAGTATAGGAAAGTCAAGCAAGTCGCTAAATAAAAAGAAAGTATATGAGTACATACTCTTTGCTTCTTTCGGTAAAGTCACGTAGGTAGAAATTAAATAAAATTAATCACGACGTTTCGATCATCTTCTTGGTTATTTCGGTAAAGTCACGTAGAATGAGAATAAAACAATCAAACTAATTAAGACAATAAAATTCTCACGACGTTTCGGCCACAACACAAGCGGCCTTCCTCAGGTGAAGAAACAGGTCTATCCAGGAGACAGTGCCCGAGTGGACTCCGTCACGCCAGGACTGAGTCTTATTAAGGCTGTGGGTGGAGTTGGATTACCATGTTACCAGCCCCTACCCGGGGCGGAGGATGGAGGGGGGGGCTGGTGGAAACAAACACTAATTAATCCAAACGGTAAACAAGATGTTCATGGTTGTTCCATCATATTTGCCGGGCACTAGTCTATTTTGCCGAGTCAATTGCATCCCCAGCGTTTGTTACTGCTGCTTTGGCAAATGCTTTGGCAGGTACTTTTTCATTGGCATTGTTGCTGCAGCCCCCCCCCCACACTCTCCTGGCGTACACGCAAAGCTCCCCTCCCCCTACCCCCCTCCCTTGCTCATCCCCCCTTCTCTCACCTATATAGCCTCCTGTCAAGCATCTCTCTCCCACTTCAGCAAAAAAATATTGCTGTGGTTTTCCCACCTGATGATTGCTTGTGTTGCAATCGAAACGTCGTGATTTATTTTATTTTATTTCTACCTACGTGATTTTACCGAAAGAACCAAAGAGTATGGATTCCTGCAGTCACGAAAGCTTCAAACTAGTAAGGGTTGTCAGGTAAACAGAACGTGCCAATTCGTCACTAGTACAGCACTAACCGGCGGAACCTGCGCATAAAAAGATGAAATACGCCAGTTACAAGCGGATTTCACCAAAGAAAGACCTCTAAAGCAGTCATCACGGCCCTTCCAGGTGTCCGAAAATCCTTTGCAATAACGCCCGCCTGCTCACGCCATGAATGGCACACCATCAACACCCACTCATCAACTACTTAGCGCATCTATTATTCTACGTAACTACCACGTGCTGGTCGTTAGGGGCCGTCCATAAATGACGTCACGCACCTGGGGGGGGGGGGGTCAGACATTTGTGACGATGTGTGACGAGGGGGGGGTGGGTAAGAAATGTAACGTCACATCATTATGCGCAACTTTAAATTAATGTGGACAACACGTTCTACTTAATTAAATATACGTTTTAATAAATGTTTTATCCTACATCAGAGTGCAGCGCCACATTAAATACGCACTACAATGACAATAGTTTAAAGCGATTTGAAGCTTGTTTTTTTTGTGGGGGGCAGAGCTTTGTGACGTCATATTTGAGGGGGGGGGTCTGATTTTTTGTGACGCTGTCTGACGAAGGGGGGTGGGGGTCAAAAATCGTCACAAATCGCGTGACGTCATTTATAGACGGCCACCTTCCAGTTGATCAGCAATTATCTGGCTGCTAGCAGCATGATCCGGCTGGTCTCGGGCCAATCCGGGGAAATCGGCAAAACACTGCTCCAAAGGTCGTAACCCAGTGGAGCACATAGATACCTTTGATTTCAGTGTTAAATGTTATATGCACTACATTTTACACTACGCACAATTGAAACAATTAAAATTCTGCACGTAGATACATCACCCCATGGAGATCTACAGTTTTCAAATGAAAGGATTTGGTCGAGGAATCGACCCATCGTTCTCGAATCTAACGTGTTGTCCGCATGAATATGGACACTACATGAAGACGATGACGCAAAGATTGAACACACGCACGCAAAATACAGCCACTGTCAGCCAATCGCCCGGCTGTCTTTATCTTCCCAGTGGTGATTCTTTATTTTTTTACACGCCGCAAAACTCGGTTCTCGGTAAAGGCCAAGTCAACCCTGGGGAGGCCAAAGGTCGGATCGAATATTTGACGACTTATTTGTTCGTGGGCGGGAATTGATATTCGGGTCGCCGTGCTTCGTAGCGCAGTGCACTAACCATGTTGCCACATCTTCCCCGCCGCCCCCACAGAGACACATTTACAGCAACGCACGAAAGATGTGTTTATAGACAACCTTGTTATTAATATAATACCACCAAATATATTACATTCCGCACTGTGATTGTATCGCGTACACGCACGCCATCGTTTCCATTTCCTTTTCGAGCGTCAAATATCTCCTTTGTTGGTGCAAAATCTCGTAAGGTTCCCTTATACACATTCTGTGTAATATTGAGTGGGGTCTTTGTCTTTAACACGCAGTAGTAGAAGAAGGCTTTCGCGACCCATATTGCACCGTAATAACAGAGGTTTTAGATCGCGTAAATATAAATGCGTCCTTAAACCCGCCACCACCACCCGACACAGCCAATCAGTAAGGTTGTGTCACGTAAACAAAACAATTTGCCGATGAGTGACTATTCTTTGGGTCTTTTGGTAAAGTCACGTAGAACAAAGAAAATAACCTAATAAACTACGACGTTTCAATCGCAACACAGTCAATAGTCATCCTACGTGACTTTATCTAAAGACCCAAAGAATATGAATGCCTGCAGTCACGAAAGCTTTAAGACGAGTGACTAGCTCAGTACACTAAACGCTTGTGTGTTGGAGAGTAAACCCACTACAACATTTACCATTCGAGTCCAGTGACGTTTCGCCGGTAATTATCACAACAAGCAGCCTCATCAGGCGACAGCCAACTTTGTCTCCCCAGTGGCGATGTTAACGCACCGCACCAGGTGCTCATTTGAGGCTGAGTCGAAATAGGGAAGGCCCAGTACCGGTTCAGATAATCGTTACTGGTGTTTGTAGCCGTGAGCAGGAATCGACCTCGTGTCGCCAGGTTCGTAGCGCAGCGTAGCGCTCACCGCCCCCCTACCCGCTCCACCGGTTCAGCTGATTCGCAGTCATTCGTGGCAGTCGGTGGGGATCGGTTCGGTTCAACAGACCTCACGGCTCCCATCACGCGGAGGGGGGGGGGGTAGATGAGGCCCTCATCCAGCAGTAGATTGACCGATGGAAGTGATTATTATTTTGCTGCTATACATTTTCATGTGATAGGCCACTTTGTCGAGCTATCCTTTGTGGCCAGGTTGCTTCTGAAAATAATAAGTTCATACCTTTACCTGGTCATATAAAAAAAACATGTCGGTTCATTTGAATATTTTAAGTGACTTATTAACCTTTAAAGGTATACTTTATACTTAAAGGTATACCTATACTTTGCACTCCTATTGTGTTTGTGTGTATTGTGTATGTTGTTGTAACGTTCTGACCCCGTGCCACTACTGGACATCTGTAAAAAAAGAGCTTCATAGCTCATCGGATTTCTCCAGTAAAAAATAAGATTCTGATTCCTACGATTTCAATCACACGCACAGCTCGTGTTATGCTACCCCACGTGTAGACAATGAACCATGCAAACCACACACAGGTGCAGATCACCCATTCACCACTATAAATACGAAGGAGACATCACAGCGATGATGATGATACACAGCTGATGATACACATATCCGCTACTGTTCCTGACGCACTTGTTATATATCACCTGAATGTGAAATTGCAGCTGTTGTTCTGCATCCACATCAGCAGCCGTACGAAAGAAGAGCTATGATGGCCGACACGAAACAAGACAGCGTGGGTGGCCACGACACCCACGCCTGGTACTCATTTCGGGCGGAGTCGATGTAGGGGAGTCCCAAGAATGGTTCAAATGTTCACCACTGGTGTTGACCCGTGAGCGAGGATCGAACTTGGTTCGTAGCACAGCGCACGACCGCTCCCCACCACACTAAACTAAAACCATTTATTTTACCAATTAATGCCCCACTGAGCTTTGTAGCTCTTCTTCAGAAGCGACCTGGCCACAAATGAGAGCTCATCGTAGTGGCTTATAGCAGCAGCCAAATCATCTCAATGAGCGACGTCGATTCTAAACGTGGAGGGGAAAACCGGAGATCCCGGATAAAAAAAATCCACGCGCGCACAGTGGGAAGAGGCACGCAAACTCCAAATATACAGCAGCAGGCGGCAGGGTTGGGATCGAACCCACGCCCTCATGTATACCAAGCGAGGCAGTTAACATCTCACCACCGCGGCGCCCTTTACTCAAACACTCTAAACACCACGCCCGGCCGCCTTTGTCTCCCCACAGTGCCGATGTCTGCACGCCACACAAGTTACAACTTGTTTAAGACCGAGTCGAGCTAGGCAAATGTGAATATTAAAAGAACCCGTGTACCCTACCTTACACATGCGAAGCGACGATATCGGTCCTGCGGCTGTTCTCAGATCGTGTAGTCACTCACGGAAATTTGCATTCGCCTGGTTACGCATGAAGTTGGGTGGGTGGGTGAGGTGGGTCGTGGGGGTAGTGGTGGGGGCAGTGGTGGGGATAGTGGGGGGTGGAGGGGAGTGGTGGGGTGGGGGGTAGCGGTGGGGGATAGTGGTGGGGGGTAGTGGTGGGCGTGGGGGATAGTGGTGGGGGTGCTGGGGTTGGAGGGGAGTGGGAGGTGGAGGGTAGTGGTTGGTAGTGGTGGTGGGAGTCGGGGGATAGTGGTGGGTATTGGTGGGGAGTGGGGGGTAGTGGGGGATAGTGGTGGGTAGTGGTTGGTAGTGGGGGGCAGTGGTGGTGGGAGTGGGGGATAGTGGTGGGGGTAGTGGTGGGGGGGTGGTGGGTCGTGGTGGTGGGCGAAGGGGATAGTGGTGGGAGGGGGAATGCGGGGTGGGGTGTAATTGGGGGCGCAGTAGTTGGCACGCTGCCCAAGGAACCCGACGACCCGGATGCCGCTCACGGCCAACTTCCACCGGTGACGATTATCTAAATCGGTCCTGGGCCTCCCCTAGGTTGACTCAGCCTCAAGTGAGTACCTGATGCCATGTGTAGTAAACATCGCCACCGGGGAGAGACAAAGGCGGCCGGACATGGTGCTGGCCACCCAGCAGTGTCGAGGCTACATAGACGCTGCTGCTCGTAAACAGCACTTGGCCCGACAGTATGTAGAAGCTACACGGGGGATCTTTGTAGTGGGGTTGGGATTAGTCGTAGGCGGAGGCGTCTGTCTCCGGTGTGAGTGAAGCTCTCACCTGTTGATTGAAGGGCAGATAAGGTCAGATATTCACAAAAAAACACACGTTAATTTAAACTCGCTAAGTGCTGCACTCATTTGAAACAGAATCAGAGTGTTTATTTATCCTGGAGAAATTCGATGAGCCGTAAAGCTCTTTTTCACAGATGCCCAGTAGGGCCGGGTAAGGACGTTGTAACAACAAACGGTACACGAACATTATATGAGTGCAAAGTGTAGGAATGTCAAGCAAGTCGCTAAATAAAAAGAAAGTATATGAACGTAACGTAGGTAGATATAAAATAAAATAAATCACGACGTTTCGATTGAAACACAAGCAATCATCATCAGGTGGGAAAACCACAGCAAGGTAAAACCTTAACTGTTCGTGGTTGTTCCATCATATTTGCCGGTCACTAGTCTATTTTTGCCGAGTCAATTGCATCCCCAGCGTTTGTCATTGCTGCTGCTTTGGCAAATGCTTTGGCAGGTACTTTTTCATTGGCATTGTTGCTGCAACCCCGCCCACACTCTCCTAGCGTACACGCAACGCTCCCCTCCCCCTACCCCCCTCCCTTACTCCTCCCCCTTTCTCTCACCTATATAGCCTCCTGTCAACCATCTCTCTCCCACTTCAGCAAAACATATTGCTGTGGTTTTCCCACCTGATGATGATGATTGCTTGTGTTGCATTCGAAATGTCGTGATTTTTTATTGTATTTGTGCCTACGTGATTTTACCGAAAGAACCAAAGAGTATGGATTCCTGCAGTCACGAAAGCTTCAAATCAAGATATGAGTACAATTTGTATAAATACTGGGCATCAATTCCTGCCAATGTTTGAAAAACCGAATGCCAGCTTGGGGCTTCTGCTTTCAGATGCGCTTCTGCAGCCGTCTGGAACGCTCTTCCCTTCCGATATTGGGAAGCTACTGGAGCTATGCACTTTTAAATCCACTAGATTGACAAACTAATTTCTTTAGAACTGCTTACTGTTGTGCTTAGTTTGTTGCCCTTCCCCCCGCACCTCCGATTAGCACGATTGGCTACTTACGGTGCAAAATGTCAACATACATACAACTATACACCACAATACACACTAGACACTACACACACTACGCTATACACTACACTACTGCATACCAAACTATTATACGCTACACTACTATGCAAAATTTAAAACTAATTTCTTTAAAACTGCTTTTTGTGTTTAGTTTAACACGTAGGCTTTCGCGACCAATATCATCCATAAGAGGGTTTTTTGGGGGTTAGATCCGCGTAAATACAGGGTGCTTTAAAAGATGGACCCAATTTCAAAGCAGTATTTTTCACGAAAGCAACATGTTAAAATTATACAAAAAGTTACATACGGTTTAATGAGTTAAGTTTTACAAACCATTTTATAATTGCTCTATGTGCCCTCCACCAGCTGTACGGACAACATCGAGACGATAGTTGAATTCGTCCCAAAAGCCTCTCTTCTCACCTTTTCCTCTGAGGTGCGTGGTTGCCCTGTGCTCTTCCCCTTACATCAACAGCAGACTGTTTCCTCAAATTGTCGGTACTAACGACGAATGCTCTTTGACATCGGCGGATCAATGCCAAAACGCCTTTGAAACGCACGCCGCACCGCGGATTCAGTCTTGCTGAACTGCAGAACGCAAAACGCCTTGTGTTTTTGTGTATTGGGAGAGGCATTCAGCGGAAATCATCTTAAACTCTATGCCACGCCCTTACAAGTGGTAAGAGCGTCATTCATGGACGGTTCATGGTTGCAGAGATATAGCGATTTCAAATTGGGTCCATCCTTTTTAAACACCCTGCATATAAATCTGTCGTTAAAACCCGCCACCACCCGACACAGCCAACTAGTAAGGGTTGTCACGTAAACAGAACGTGCCAATTCGTCACTAGTACAGCACTAACCGGTGTGATCAATATACGCACATTGCACCTGCGGAACCTGCGCATACAAACATAAAATACGCCATTTACAGGCGGATTTCACCAAAGAAAGAGCTCTAAACCAGTCATCACGGCCCTTCCAGATGTCCGTAAATCCTTTGCAATTTCGCCCGCCTGCTCACGCCATGAACGGCACACCATCACCAGCCACTCGTCAACTACTTCGCGCATCTACAGTATTATTCTATGTAACGACCACGTGCTGGTCGTTCGGGGCCGTCCATAAATGACATCACGCACCTGGGGGGGGGGGGGTCAGACATTTGTGACGATGTGTGACGAGGGGGGGGCGGTGTTGAGAAATGTGACGTCACATCAAAATGCGCAACTTTAAATCAATATAGACAACACGTTCTACTTCATTAAATATACTTTTTAATAAATGCTTTCTCCTACAACATCAGAGTGCAGCGCCACATTAAATATGCACTACAATGACAATAGTTTAAAGCGATTTGAAGCATGATTTATTTGGGGGGGGGGGCAGAGCTTTGTGACGTCATATTTGAGGGGGGGGTCTGACTTTTTTGTGACGCCGTGTGACGAGGGGGAGAGGGTCAAAAATCGTCCAAAATCGCGTGACGTCATTTATGGACGGCCCCTTAACATGATTCAGTGTACAATTACACCGACTCCAGCTACAACCTCGTAAGCTCCATTACATTACCGACTTTAGTACAGACGTTGAACTTTTTTCGCAACCACACGTAGCCAAATCATTGCCAAATCGAGTGGTGGACAGAATGGGTCAACGCAGCGAGCTGAAGTCTCCACAATGCCCATCGCACCGTTGACTCGACAAATCGACTCACTGGCCCGTCTATATGTATGGCACGATCAACGATAATAATACTATACAAAATATTATTTTCCCAAAATAATGGATTTTTTTAACTAACGATTCAGGTACACATATAGAGCGTGCATGGGAACTGACACCTGTAGTCGAGACAACAATGCAAAGTGCAGTGGTTATTATCAACGTTTTGTATTTTGAACCTGTCTGTGTGTTTCAATAAACTTTACGTCGCTAAATTTTCACTCAAAACTTTCGTGACTGCAGGAATTCATGTTCTTGGTTCTATCGGTAAAGTCACGTAGATATAAAAATAATAATACAAAATAAAGTGAATACAAATAATACAAATAAAAGAAAAAAATACAAATAATAAAAAACACTCATGTAGACTGTAGCTTGGTTCTTAACCTCGGTGAGTGTACTGGCAGTCTACAATGTAGACTGTAGCAATGGTTAAGCTGGGTGAGTGTAGTGGCAGTCTATAATGTAGACTGTAGCCTGTTTATTGAGCTCGTGAGCGTATTGACAGTCTATAATGTAGACTGTAGCCTGTTTTTTAAGATAGTGAGCGTATTGACAGTCTATAATGTATACTGTAGCAATGGTTGTTAATTCTATATTTGAAGCTTTCGTGACTGCAAGGATCCATACTCTTTGGTTGTATTCGGTAAAGTCACGTCAAAAACAACAAAAAAAATTCACGACGTTTCGGCCACAACACAAGTGGCCTTCATCAGGTGAAGGGACCAGACTGTCTAGAGGACAGCGCTGGAGTGAACACAGCCAAGCTCAGACCGCGACCTTTAAGCTGTGTGAGAGGAAGCAGAGTGCCTTGAAAAATGAATTAGCATAAAAATTTGCATTTAATTGGCGGACTCAGCATGATGAACAATGTAGAGGGGGGGAGCATGTGCAGACCGGCGAGGGGGGGAGGGGGGGGAGTTTACATATTGATGGTGTAAAAAGGGAATTTAAGCAGCTGCAAAAGTTTGGGATACCACGACCTGAAAAAAAATACTGTACCTTTGAAAATTAGTTTAATGTTTGGTTTGATTCAGAACATCTTTCCAATGGTTGCTTAATTTGAATCCGTGACCTGATCCCTTCTGTGAAGGATCTCATTCCTGACTTACAGTTCCCCGGAGTTTACAAATTGATCTGCACCTGTGGTGACTGCTATATCGGGGAGACGAAACGACATGTCTCTGACCGAATTTGCGAACACAAGTCAGATTTGAAACACGGCAGAATGAATTCTTCTGCCGTAGCTGATCACTGTTACAACACTGTGGATGATCACGATATAATTTTCCTCGATACCAAGGTTCTTTGCAAACCCACGGATTTGTTCACGAGGCAATTCAGATTTACAAACACAGACACAATTTCAACCGAGAGGATGGTTTCAAATTAAGCCACCATTGGAAAGATGTTCTGAATCAAACCAAACATTAAACTAATTTTCAATGGTACAGTATATTTTTTTCAGGTAGTGGTATCCCAAACTTTCGCAGCTGCTTAAATTCCCTTT